GGTACGTAAAATGGCGGGAAGGATGGTTTTTGCCGGGCGCGGGAGGAGGGGCGCGAAGTGTGGGGAAAGACTGGACCACGGGGGAGGCGGCGGGCGAGGGGCGGGCTCCTGGGACGCTGCAGCGGGAGGATTCGGTTTCTTGAGGAGGCACACAGTTTGGGGGGAAAAGTTGGGAAATTTTTAAAAAAACATTCCTTGTGTATTGTGACTTCTCCTGCCCCCTGGCGGAGCCGCGGTGCTCAGCGCTTCTTCCCAGCGCGAAGAGGAAAGGCTAAGGGCGAAATGTGAATTACAACAGCCACTCCTTGAATTTCTCCAACGCTGGGCGTTTTCACCGAGGTTATCAAGTTCAAGAAGGACCAGCGGGTGCTGACGGGATCACGTTCAACCACGACTTTCCAAATGTCACCAGCCCTCGCCCCCACCTCCTCAGGCACAGCCTGAGTCCTCTGTAAAAAGTGCTCCCTAAATATTTCTGTTCATTCCGTTTCTCTCTCCCACGTGCATTCCACTCACAGGACCGTTGCCCTGGGTTCTTGCTGCTCCTCTGTGGCCCGAGTTGGGCGCTGCATCCAGCCCCGTAACTGCTGGTGGGGGTGGGAGGACGGAATCATTACAGGAATAACGTGGAAAATGAGACTGCGCAGATAACTTGGGCTGTGGTGGGGAGGCAGGAGAATAGGGAATTAGAGTAAGCACGGCTAGGATATAAGCAGGAGAACAGCAGGTGCAGCCAGTTCGCAGAAGCAAAAGATCGGCAGGTGCAGACAGTTCTAGGCACGATTAGGCGGCACACAGGCCACATCCTTGCTCCTCTGATATCAAGGCAAAAGTTTCCACTTTAGCCTCTGATTGGTGGCAGGCCAATCCTTCGTAGGGTGTAACCAGTTGGAGGCCTCTAAAGGGAACCCAGGGGTGTTGCCAAGTTCTTTTCGCTTTATAAAATGCCTGGGGACCATCGGCTTCCTGCAGCGCACTCTGAAGTGTCTTCTATAAATCTATGCTTTCCTTCCTCCCTTCTGTTGCTTTGTTTTTCCTTGCTTCTTTCTTTTGTTACTCTGCATTTTGTTCAATTCTTTGTTCAACAGGCCAAGACCCTGGACAACTCTGTCAGGTAACAGTGGGGCAGAGGATTCAGGCTTTCACGAGCCCCTCTGCAGAGAGCCATCCTGCGTTTCTGAGCTTGCAGACTCACCTGATCAAAGCAGTTTGCTAGCGGGCGAGATGTCCGTGTGTGCTCCCCCTGGTGAGAAGCAGCCCATCTCATCGTGATCTTCAGTACCGGGCACTGCTATTAAAGAGAGGTCAATTCTGAATATCAGGAAAGGGATTTGTCCCTCAACACCCAAGGAAAGAAGTGCTGCCATTTATAATAAACTAATGCTTCTCAGTCACTTCTGCAGGAGGAACCAAGAATTCTACATTCTGTTGCCAGCTCTAGCCCGAGCTTTGCCACTCGCCTTGTGATGCAGAGAACAATTGCCTGGGAATAAAGACCAAAGTTCAGATCTTGACACTGGCGCAAACTCTGAAAGCCTCTCACAATTCACTTAACCTTCTGAGTTTTAGCATCTCTTGTTTATTAAGAGAAGGAACTAGACGAGTATTTCAACAGGAGTTTGCTATGTGATTAACCTTATGGCTCTGAAGGTTAAGACATCATCTATTATGGCTGCTTTTAAGGAGTGGACAAGCATTTAGACCACTACAATGTGGCGTGTCAGGTTCTGGGGAGAACTCTGAGCAAAGGACTTGGAGGGTGCATACAGGAGAGGGTAAATCTGCCTAAGTTGCCCCATCCTGAGATTTCTTTTCATTCTGACCCCGTGAAATGACTGCTTCACTCTCACTCCGTGTTGGAGCCTGGGGTTGGGTCTAGATTACTCCTCTCGGTCCCAGTCTCCCCTCCACGCTAACTGTGCATGTGCCAGGTCCGCCTCTCTTATGCCATCTTTGTCAAGCTTCACTGCCCTGGCTTAGCTACATTTAGCTTAGAGTGGTACCTCTTTCTCTTGCCACTTAGAGGTTCTTCTTGAGAGGCTGAGGCGCGAGAGTCATTTGATCCTGGGAAACAAGGTTGCAGTGAGCTGAGATGGTGCCACTGCACTCCAGCCTGGGCAATAGAAAGAGACTCTGTCTCAAAATAAATAATTAATAAATAAATAAAAGCAGAGGAGAGAGGCCTCAGAGAATACCCATTCTTCTGCCACCTTGCTCTCAGATTTCTACCATTCAGAACGATAAGATAATACATTTCTGTTCTTTAAACCACCCAGTCTGTGGCTCTTTGTTATGGTAGCTCCAGGAAACTAATACAGGGTCTGTATTAGGATGGGAACAGAATTCATAAGAAGTATAGGGGCTTCCCGAGACATGTAGCTATTTCATCACAAGGCTTATTATCCTTGAATGAGACAATCTCAAGATGATTTTAAATTTGAAAACGAAAACTGCCAAAGCTGTATTTTTCATGGGTCTTATTTCACTATAAAAATCCACGTGCTTTGTCTCTATGGTGAGAAAGAATTTTATTATTAAAATCTGTTGTGTTGATCTTTTCCATTCCTTTTTCAACAATTACTATAATGTTAGCCAATTAAAATAAGCATTATCTTGCAGTTCTAAATCAAATACAACTTGAAGCCTGCTTTCCCAAGGCCTGATTAATTTTTTTGTGCATTTAGCTTCTATCTGGTCACCTTAATGGATCTTCTTAGTAGCCTAAATAGTTTTCAGTTGATCTCTTGGGATTTTAGATAAATGATCACATTACCTGTAACACCCACTTTTCTTTATTTTCTTTTCTTTTTTGTTAGATAAGTCTTACTCTGTCGCTTAGGCTGGAGTACACTGGCACAATCTCAGCTCACTGCAACCTCCACCTCTTGGGTTCAAGTGATTCTCCTGCCTCAGCCTCCTGCGTAGCTGGGACTACAGGTTTGTGCCACCATGGCTGGCTAATTTTTATATTTTCAGTAGAGCTGGGGTTTCACTATGTTGGCCAGGCTGGTCTCAAACTCCTGACTTCAAGTGATCCTCCTGCCTCAGCCTCCCCAAGTGCTGGGATTATAGGTGTCAGCCACCATGCCTGGCCATTTTCATTGTCTATTTTAATTAATGGTAGTTTTCTATGCCTACCCACGAAATCTCCCTACTCTATTGCCTTCCATGCTTTTTATACGCCCCTTTGAAGTGGTGAATACCATTAGGAATTTGTTAGGTAAGAAAAAATCAGCCAACATTTTGGGCATCCCTTCTCCATCCCCAAGATAAGGACATGTAACTTCTTTAACTAGTCTTCATTAACTACAGACATACAACCAAGATGATTTTTTCACAAAAATCTATTGGGGGAACTCACCCCCAATATTTCAACATAGGTTCTTTTTATTTTCCATAAGTGTCAGCCGGCTGAGAAATAAACAGAAAGAGTGCAAAGAGGAATTTTACAACTGGGCTGCTGGGGGTGACATCACGTATTGGTAGTACCGTGATGCCTACCTGAGCTTCAAACCAGCAAGTTTTTTATTAAGGGTTTCAAAAGGGGAGGGGGTGTAAGAACAGAGAGTAGGTACAAAGATCACATGCTTTGAAGGGCAGAAAGCAGAACAAAGATCACATGCTTCTGAGGGAACAGGACAAAGGGCAAAAGCAGAACTACTGATAAGGATCCAACAAAGATCACAAGGCAAAGGGCAAAAGCAGAACGACTGATAAGGGTCTATGATCAGCGGTGCACGTATTGTCTTGATAAACATCTTAAACAACAGAAAACAGGGTTCAAGAGCAGAGAACCGGTCTAATCACAAATTTACCAGGGTGGAGTTTTTTCCTACCCTAATAAGTCTGAGGGTACTGCAGGAGACCAGGGCATCTCTCAGTCCTTACCTCAACCACATAAGACAGACACTCCCAGAGCAGCCATGTATAGACCTCCCCCCAGGAATGCATTAGTTTCCCAGGATATTAATATTAATATTCCTTGCTAGGAAAAGAATTTAGTGATATCTCTCCTACTTGCACGTCTGTTTATAGGCTGTCTGCAAGATGAAAAGTATGGCTCTTTTTGCTCAACCCTGCAGGCAGTCAGACCTTATGGTTATCTTCCCTTGTTCCATAAAAATTTCGTTCTTTTTCAGGGTGCACTGATTTCGTATTGTTCAAACACACATTTTACAATCAATTTGTGCAGTTAACACAGTTATCACAGTGGTCCTGAGGTGACGTACATCCTCAGCTTATGAAGATAACAGGATTAAGAGATTAAAGTAAAGACAGGCATAAGAAATTATAAAAGTATTTTTTGGGAACTGATAAATGTCCATGAAATCTTCACAATTTATGTTCTTCTGCCACAGCTCCAGCCAGTCCCTCCGTTCTGGGCCCCTGACTTCCCACAATGAAAATCAATGCTTCCAGGTTTTAGCAGTAACAAAATTTAGTGGTTTTAAATATGGGACTCCCTGAAAACTTCATTCTGATAGCAATGCCAGACATTTTTGACGCTCCCAGAGCCACTCATCAAGAGACATCTTAGGGTAGGGTAAGGTAAGGATCCCAGAAGCTTAGTCTA